GATGTAGCTGGATCTCAACTGCTTGGTGGTTGACCTACCCCTTGGATGATGACATTCCCAATATATGTCCCAAATGTTCCAAACCACCAACCAGTCAAACATATGTCCACCATATACCAATGGTAAATATGGTTAATGTAAACCTCCTGATTTTCACAAACAAAACAATGTCAATAATCCAAGTTTTGCCCACACAATGTCAGAATCCTTATCTGTGTTGACAAGTTGATACAGTAAACCAGAGTTATGGCCCGAAATACAAGTTATAAGTACTAACTTATAACCTCATTTCTAGAATGTTCTTTATCCCATTGAAATAACCAGTCATGGCCCTATTAGCCATGGCCTCAACTGCAGAACATGGCTTCAATGGCTTGGACCAAAAAGATCTAACATCCCCCAAAATCATTGGTTCTTCAAAGGACTCATCTGCTGGTAGCGAACCAATGATTTTAACTAACTAAATATATAGAAATGGTCTATAAATAGTTTAACTAACCTATAACACCTATAAATATATATATATATGTTATACTAATGCATCTGCCCAATCTGAAAAATCAAAAAAGTTAACTTCAGATTTGTAGAAACTTAGGTTAAAAACATTCATCACCCTAAAATATTTAATGATAAGAAAACAACACCTATTTTCTTATGATATTTCCTTGGATGAATCCTTCAATGATCCGAGTGACTGACAGTGATCTAACGGTTTCCAAGTTTCAGCCACACTAAAAGGCTGGCAACTTCGGCGGAACTAAGCCATTGGCTAAACTTTTTTTGGCTTTACTCCAAGTGGAGGAACCTTCCACTTGGAAAAAAATCCACAAAATGGAAGGTTCCCCCATGGAAAATTCATGATTTAGGGCCAAAAATTACCACATTTCAGGAATCCCCCAGGACGTTGACCTCTTAGAGGTGATGTCCTGTCTGTTGGGGTGAAATCATCTCCGCAACCAGCTGTCTGAAGGGTGATGCCCCAGTTCGGAATCTCCACAACCCACCGGTTTATAACTCAAATTTCACTATGGTTTTTGTTGGTGATATCTCTATAGTTAATGGGAGTATAAGCCATTTATAACTGGGGGGGCACCACCTTGTGTAAATGGGTTTGTCTGAAAAGGTGGTATAAAGGCATTGAAACGCTACACTTAATGGGCTTTAAATGATGATAGATGACACTGAACTAGTGCATGTTGGAGTTCCCCGCGTCGTTTTCAGACAAATCCTACATCATATTCCATTTCAATGTATCCCATTTCAAATCTCATGTATATTATATATATATCCTCAATATTGTCATGAAATCACACTAAATAGGTCACCGAACTTCTTGAAAAGAACATGCCCCCAGCAGCTGTTCCCACCAATATCAATCTGCCTTAATGGCCTAGGCAATGACTAAACCAGCAGCATCACATTGTCTGTGAATGAATGGATACCCATAGAATAGCGAATTCAATGGAGCATATGTTTATGAACAATCAAATTTTGGGATACTGTGTTTTCAAACACATCGCCATCTGAGAATGACTCTACTTATATAGTTACTTCGGAGTTTTGAGACCAAAAAACTATGGGCCTTTGGGTTGTTGCATGCTCTGAATACTTCTGAACTGGCTAAAATGCAAGATCTCTGATGGGACAATGGGTTTACCTGAAAATAGGGAATACCAACATCCCATGGATTTTCCTCTTTCTTGGAGCGGTCAAAAAATGGGAAGTCCACCAAATTCTGCATTTACCTTGGGAGTTGAATTCTGAAGAATATTAAGAATACCCAAATGAACAGTTACATACATATGTTTCGCATATGGGTTCGCAATCGTGGTTTGTATGAATCCCTATGTATGAAACCAGTCCTGTGCAATCTGCAATTTGAGCATCAATGCCTAAATCCAATGTTGACAGGTGAACTCCTAAGTTTTTGCAAGGTAAAAAAAAAAACAACGTTATTGATTCTAAATGGTTGTTGTGTTGCTCAATATTCATTCAACGTCTGTTCAAGGTGAAATTGCATTTTTCACGTCAACAATATTGTGTTTGTGCATTTCCAACTTCTTCAAGTAAAATCCAATGAATATCCATTTTTCAACGCTGAAATACCATGAATTTCAATTATTGTTCATATGCAATCTCATTTTGTTTCATGTGTCCCGATATTTTTTGGGATTCTAATATGTAGATCCCATAATTTCCGATATAAAATGCACATCCAGTATACCATCTGGTTATGACTGACCGTTTGCGAACTGGAAAATCCCGAAAATAAATGGAGGAGTTTCTAGCTGGGAAAATCATCTATTTCTATGGGCCATCTATACCATGGCTATGTTAAATAACCAGAGGGTAAATCCCATTAAAATCTCATTATTCACCATTGTTAACCCATTGTTAAACCATTAAATCACCATTAGATCACCATTAATTCAGGTTGAATCACATTTTTTTTGCAAAAAATACCTTCACCCCCACGCCAGACCTCGGACGCTGCGATCTCCATGGCAGCCGGGTCCTCAATTCAAGGATCTATAGCCAACCAATCCATGCGGAATTAGGTTATTATATCATGGGGATTTACAGGTACAATATACTATATATATATGTAAAATATACATATATATAATGTATATATATATATAATGTGTATATATATACAATGTAAATATATATATATATAGAGAGAGAGAGTATGTATATATTTATTTGTTTATTTATTTATACTTATTTATTTATATATTTATATATGTACATATATACATATATGTAAATGCATATGTATGTATATGTATATGTATGTATATAGCATACACGATTATATATATATATATATAATAACCAATTACATTATGGGGACATCCTGGTGTGATATTGGGGGACATCATAGGGATATATAATATGAAAACAACCATACTGCCGAACATATTAATATGTATATATATATGTATATATATATGTATATATATACATATATATATATGTAGATATACATATAACAATATTGATGTAACCTACCGTATTGACCATATCAGATTCATAGAAGGGGCAATTGGGATACCATTTATCATCGGGCGTTCAATGGATGGATTCAAAAAATATGCTTTGATCAGTGGAGGTTTCATCCAGAAAGTTTTCGAGCAACAATAAACCGCTTTCACCAAGTAAACATGGGATATATTGGGAGTAGACCCGGCAATATTTGGTTTGAACCGTCAAAAAAAGAAACCATAAGAGTTTTTAAGTGGGGAAAATATGAGCGGTGGAATTAAGAGCTGGTTGGAAAATCACTCAGGTTCGTTGGCGCCAAGATTGGTCCGCTGTGCTGTGGAAGTAAAATGGATCCAATCTTCTCCAAGCACTTCTGATGATCGCGACACGCTGAGCAAGTTCCACCACATTTCATGCTAGTCCATTCCGCGGACTCATAGTGCACCAAGGTGGCAGAATGCCCCCTACGCCGCATCTGATGGTATGAGCAGAAACTGGCACACACACTTCGGTGTCTACCTGACTTACACCTGATTTCCACCAGAATGCCACGATTGTTGTCGCACTCGTCGACGGCGGCCTTGATGCTGTTGAGTACATTGACAAAGTCTGGGACTTTGATTAGGGACTGACTGATCGGCCAATGGATCTCATAATTGGGTATTTGCAGAAAAGCTAGCTGGCTGAGAAGTATTCCTATGAAGCGGATTAGACGACAATCCCTATCAAACCAGGTGAGTCAATGATATTCAATGATCACATGTCCATCCATGGTTTCCCCTTTTTGTGGTCAAAACCTGCATTTGGTGGCTCAAATGGTCTTGGAGGTCTGTGGGAATCGAAGGCCCCGTATTGAACATCCCTGAAACATGGTAATACAATGCAACCTATGACTGACAACGGCAACGGCAATGCATCACAACACAAAACCGGTAGTTTAGTTTACCAGGAATCGAAAGATGTGACCCACACATCATAAAAGTAACTGTGGTTGTGGCGATGGTGGCTATCCTTGTTAGAAACCTTTCGCATGATGATGATGATGATGGTGATGAAGATGATGATGATGATGATGGCGTCGGTGATGCGGCTGACAATGAATTTTATTGTGGATTGGTTCAACTGGTTTGCTGACCGTGACCGGAACGATAGCTCGCATAAACAGCAGCTAACATGGGTATGTCCTGGAATGTTGCGTCATTCTAAGAATCCTACGGTTTACAATCAAGACGTCCGATCAAACTTGCAATTGGACATCCCCAATGTTGCGATAAACCCCATGTCCTCTACATTCATTGCTTAGCAATTCCTTTCTGCATAAATATCCCATGTTTGGATAAACCCCTAGCCGCTACCCTCCAGGGGCCCGGCTGGCGGTGGCGGTGGTGGTGGTGCCACCTGGGTTACATGAAATTAGCCATTCTTGGGGACCTGGATTTGTCTGAAAATGGTGGAGGCGCCCACAAAAATTCTTACTTTGATGGGAAACTGATGGTGCCCCGATTTTGGGGCACCCCATTTTCAGACAAACCGCCTTGCTTTCGGTCTGCTTCCCTAAAAACACAAGCACAGATCCCCTCCAGTTTGGCTCTGGGTTTATGGGTATATTTTGTAACCTGTTCTATTTTTTTGTTTGTTAAAAATAGTTCATACTTCTTCGGGTTCAAACCGTCAAGACCCAAACAACCACAACATCTATCTATACATCTGTATATCTATCGATCGATCAATCTATCTATCCACCTATCTATCTATCCATCCATCCATCGATCTATCTGTCTGTCTGTCTATCTCTCTATCTGTCTATCTGTCTATCCGTCTATCTATCTATATATCTGTCTATCTGTCTATCTATCTATCTATCTATCTTTCTATTTATCTATCTATGTATCGATTTATCTGTCTATCTATCTGTCGTCTGTCTGTCTATCTCTTTATCTATATATCTATCTATCTATCTGTCTGTCTAATGTCAAGGTAGGATTAATCAATACCGCCCGATTAAACAACCTCTACTCGCCAAGTGCCACGCCTGCCACGCGAAACGACTGTGGATGTCGCCAAGTGCCACCCCTGCCACGCGAAACGATGGTGGATGCCGCCAAGTGCCACGCCTGCCACGCGAGGTGGCATAGAGAGTCAAAAAAACAAGAACCCCGCAAAAAGATGTGCCGAAAAAAAATATGGCAGCAGGATCTGAAAGATGGCACCTCATGCAGCTGATTCCCTGTGATTCCAAGCCTGTGGAAAACATGTGGATGACCAGGGGAAAATATGCCGCAAATGAAAACAGCAACCATTAAAGAAGCAATTGTTGGGCAAACGAGAATCTTCTTGTGCTCATGAATCTGCTGGTATGCCTCTTCCATGAGAGCAGTTAGCTCATGTCCCTGACTCAAGCGCTTCTTGGCGAGCTCATACTGCTTCATCCTCTCCTTATGGAGCTTTTCACCCTGAGCTTCTAGCTTCTGATGTTCAGACACGATCTCGATCTTCATCTTCTCAAGTTCGACCTGAAGGGCCTGTGTCAATTTGGCTAATCTGCTGCTGTGCCATGCAGATGCAGCGGCTGATGGGTGCTCCGTCGCGGCAGGTCCATATTCTGATCGACACATCTCCTCCTCCATGAAGGCCAGGACGTCATGGCCGCAAATGTTCGACTGCAGTGGCTGTCTGACACTGTTGGATCTGGTGATGCCTGGGTGATCCAGGAACATGTCTCCGTTGATGATGTCATGCTCCATCAAATAGCCCAGCATGATTTCCGCCAATGCAAGGCATCCCTCATTCATGTCTCCATTGATACTGTCATAGTAGCGGATGCCCTTCTGGGGAAGATCAAGCACCATGAGGGCCCAATGTTGGGCAGAATTGAGAGGAAAGAGATGCACCTGATTCTTGTTGGACATCTCATGTCGAAAAGCCTTTAGGGTTTTCTCTGAGTCGATGCCCTCATGCATCTGCAAGCGCGCTGATGCCGGAAGAATAGGACTGATCATGTGGAATCCGCTGTACGCGCCTGATTGCTTCTTATTTAATGTCATGCAGAGGAAATGGTATGCACAAATGATGCTTTGGGCCTCTAATCCTCCCGCGGGCAAGATTTTCTCCTGCAAGATTTCAACCGCGTCCCATGCCTTGGGCTTGCTTATCAGGGGCCACCTAAACAACCAAAAAAAACAACGCCAGTAATTTCCCCAATTGGTAGATTCATCAAGGGGATTTAAAAAAAATCACCTGCAGCAAAGCTAAGATTCGGGGAAGGTCGTCACGTCCGGACTGATGGTGCCGGAATCTTTCAGGATTTCTGATCTGAGATACCGGCTGAGGGAGATCTGCTGCCAAGCCCATACAGGAAGGTTCTCATCAATCTCATGCAGTTGAGCCAAGGGCGCCCATGTGAGCTGCTCCTTCTGTTGCGCCTTCTTTTTCTGAAGGAGCAACTGATACTTCTCATTGCCAATGCTCATCACTGAGCCCTGTCTTCCATAGAGCGCATGGCTGGCCTCATCAGAAACAATCCTGAATGTGCCCTTGAGGAGCTCCTCACTGATGGCTGGTGTATCAGAAGGTGGCGCATCAGGGGGAGGAGGCAAAGGCGGCAGCTTCTCATGTGAATCGGCGTTCTCATCTGCCGCTTTCTTATCTTTCAATGCCTGCGCCGCTGCTTTCCTCTTCTGATTCTTCAGCAGCTGCTTCTTTCCTTTCTTCTGATCTGTGATCCCTTCCTTTGTAGATTTCAGCTTATTCTTCAGCTTATTCTTCTTCAGCACTGATGGTTTCAATGTCTTTGCTGACGGGACAATGGACATCATGGCCTCATACCGCGATTTGCTCTGCAAATCCTGGTTGATCTTCTCTCTCTCCTCATGTGTGATCTGCTTCTTTGCCTCCATCCTGATTTTTCTCTGCTTCCTCTTCTCTCTCATCTTGTCTCGCCTATCTTGGCAAGCCTGATTCAAAGTGGCTTCTCTGATGGCCAGCTGCCGCCGCAACTCTAGTGACAGCTGAAATTTGCGGGACTGGACCTAATCCACCTCATCTGCTGCCTCGATGTTGATGTCCATGTCTGCGTTTGCATGTTCCTGCTGATGATAGGACCATTCGATGAGATCTGCTAGCTCTGTCGCTCCACTCATGCGATTCCAGATGGGCTCAGGGACATGTGCTCCATCCTGCTGAATGTCGGCTAATCTGTTTTCTAGCCATGAGGCAGGGATTCGGGAGCTACCCAATGGCATCGATGCGCACCAACTCTGATCTCCACACCATTTGAGATGCCCGTTCTCATCAGGCCTCACTGCCAAAAAGCCGTTTCTTCTCATGCCTGCGAGGACCCAGTTGTCCTCATGGTTCTTGTCGATCATGATTTGCATGGCATGGTCAATGCATGACGCCACATCCTTCAAGCTCATCTTGTAGATCTCCGATGGGGCTGCAGGATCTGATCTGATGGCCTCCGTGCCCTTCCTGTTGCACTCATTCACCTGCTCTCTGATGGGAGATTTAAACTGATGAGAAAAGTCAATATCAGTTGGTTGCATGGCTGCGGTCATCTTGGCCATCACGCTGCAGGATGCCTCATGGGCATGTTCATCACCTCTGATGAAAACGCAGCTGAGAAACAATCTCTTTGATGTAATTCCACTGGATGCTCCTTGCCCATGGCCTTGATGACCCAGCTCAAAATAATGCCATCCATGTTCGATGCCGGCTGGCTGTATACCGAGAAATGCCTGAACAAATGCGGATCTGATTCCCTGATCTTTTTCCATGCGCCCAATACTCTGCCAGCCTTGGCGGGGATGCTTGCGCGTCTGGCCCATGTATGTGAAGACGTCATCCTCCACCCATCCGCCTGCTGCACTGATGTTGTCCAGGGATGCATGGGCCCCTGGCACAATGAGGATCCCTTTCATGCAATGTCCTCACGGGTGGGCAGCAAGATTGATCATTTGCTTTTTTGGTCCATCTGTTAAATTTCAAGACGCCAAAAGTGAAAAAAAAATCATCCCCCAAACGATCGATTTCTAATTAAAATCTTATTCGGAAATGCTGTTTTTGGGAGCTCAGAAAGGCTAACCCCCCTTGAGCGCGGTCCCCCCCACAAATAAAAAGACACCCCCCAATTAGTAAACGCCACCGAGCCACTGATAATTTTTCCACCATGCTTTTCTCATGTGCAAGTGCTTTTGTTTTTGTGCAACAGCTACATCAACATTGCATTGCCAGATGTTTCCCCATCCACCTCCCAGGGATGTTTTTGGTCAATATATTTTATTTAATTTGAAGATGCCAAAACTGGAAAAAACTCAAATCATCGATTTTTATTTAAAAACTTATTGAAAAATGCTGTTTTTGGGAGCTCAGAAAGGCTACACCCTTTGAGCGCGGTCCCCCCCACAAATAAAGAGACGCCCCCCCCCCCAATTAGTAAACCCCACACAGCCACGAAGAGTTTTTCCACCATTCTTTTCTCATGTGCAAGTGCTTTGTTTTTTTTGCAACAGCTACATCAACATTGCATTGCCTGAAGTTTCCTCATCCACCTCCCAATGATGTTTTTGGTACATATGTTTAATTTCATGGATTACTCTCATGTATTCTACTGTATTATATCAAATCATATTATATTAAATAATATTAAATTGATTTAATTGGAGTATATATATTTTATTTTATTATATGATATTTTATTTTATGGTATTAAAAAATCATAATTTATACTATAATATACTCTGTTATATTAATTAAATTAAATTGATTATATTGCATTATATCAAATCAAATAATATTATATTATATGAAATTAAATTAAATTCTATTAAATTAAATTACACTATATTATATTGATTTATATTATCTTGTATTATATTATATTATATTACATAATATTAAATTCAAAAATATGATGCTATCTATTTCTATTAAAATGGTATTATATTTTATTAAGTGATATGATATAATATGAAGTTAACTATTATTAATTAGTGTAATCCAACCCTCATGGTTTCAAAACCTCATGGACTCAACCCTCATGGATTCGAACCCTCATGGAATCAACCCTCATGGTTTAAAACCCTCATGGAATCAACCCTCATGGAATCAACCCTCATGAAACGAACCCTCATGGATTCGAACCCTCATGGAATCAACCCTCATGGTTCCAAACCCTCAGGGAATCAACCCTCATGGAAACTCTCATGAACCGAACCCTCATGGATTGAAACCCTCATGGATTCAACCTTCATGGTTCCAAACCCTCATGGAATCAACCCTCATGGTTTAAAACTCTCATGGAATCAACCCTCATGGAATCAACCCTCATGGAAACTCTCATGAACCGAACCCTCATGGATTCGAACCCTCATGGAATCAACCCTCATGGTTCCAAATCCTCATGGAATCAACCCTCATGGTTTAAAACGCTCATGGAATCAACCCTCATGGAATCAACCCTCTTGGAATCAACCCTCATGGAAACCCTCATGGATTCGAACCCTCATGGAATCAACCCTCATGGATTCGAACCCTCATGGAATCAACCCTCATGGTTCCAAACCCTCAGGGAATCAACCCTTATGGAAACTCTCATGAACCGAACCCTCATGGATTGAAACCCTCATGGATTCAACCCTCATGGTTCCAAACCCTCATGGAATCAACCCTCATGGAAACACTCATGAACCGAACCCTCATGGAATCAACCCTCATGGTTCCAAACCCTCAGGGAATCAACCCTCATGGAAACTCTCATGAACCGAACCCTCATGGATTGAAACCCTCATGGATTCAACCTTCATGGTTCCAAACCCTCATGGAATCAACCCTCATGGATCCTCATGGCTTAAAACCCTCATGGAATCAACCCTCATGGAAACCCTCATGAACCGAACCCTCATGGATTCGAACCCTCATGGAATCAACCCTCATGGTTCCAAACCCTCAGGGAATCAACCCTCATGGAAACTCTCATGAACCGAACCCTCATGGATTGAAACCCTCATGGTTC